TCCTCTTAACATCCCCATTGTACTACCAACACTTTGGAGGGGAAGGCATGGCAAGGCTTCAAAGATTTGGGTCTGTTGTCTTCAAAGATGTTGCAGCATTTATTTTCTTTTCTAGGTTTGTTTTTGAATTGTCTAGCCATGGTTGCTTTCTTCGTTTCCTCTCATTTCCATATAGATTTTGGAAACCCAAATCTAGGTTTGTTAATTTATTTTAAATCCTGCTCGTTTCCTCTGATTTTCAGACAGATTTTGGTTATACTTTATTCTTTTCTTATTCTCTTATCAATATTATTCCAATCAAAAGATTGGATTTTCATTTTCATTTTTTGTTACCTTCTTGGCTGCGAGAGATTGTGGGGTTTATTGTATTTTGTAGGGGTGGAGTCGAGGAGGTAAGGAGGCAATGAAGATGATTGCAGAAGGGGCAAAGAAGGAGATGGAGATGATTGTCGGAGGAGGCAAGGAGCAGGGGTTGAATTTTTGAGAGAAAAGACAAAAAGCAAGGCTGGGTTTTTTAGAGGAAAATGATACCGTTTGATTTTGGGACTCCAATTTTTTTTTTCTTTTTTGAGAGGTAGGACTGATGCCCACTTTCCCTTATATATATATATATATATATATACATACATACATACAGCAAAGTGCACGTCAGTTCTACTTCCTAAAAAAGTTTGGAATCCCAAATCCAAAGCGATATCGATTCTCTTAATCATGCTCCTTATGTTTTTTGCCCTTTCTGGAATCACCTCCGTTTCCGTCTCCATCTCCCTCGCCTCCTTGACTCCTCCGACCCTTCTGGAATTATCTCCGTCTCCCTCACCTACTATTTTTTGCCCCATCTGGTCCTACCCCCATTATTTTTCACCCCATTTGGAATCATCTCCATCTCCATCTCCCTCACCTCCTCAACTCCTTATTTTCTCTACAAGTTCTCTTTTTTTCAATTTTGTTCTATGGTGGTTTTCGCTTGTTGACGGTGAACCAAGATGGGCGACAAGGGTATCAGTCTTAAACAAACCAAGAACGAGACTGTTGATTTGGTATTCTTCCATTTTTCCAAAGAAAAATTTTCATATCCCCTGTTGTTTGTCTCTATTTGGTTGTTGTAATGCAGTGAAAATAAGATCTTTATAGATCCCGAAAGTTGTTTGTTTGGATTGCTGTTGTGTTTTTCTTTTCATTTTTTTTTTTTTTTTGCTCATTTTCTCATTGATGAATATAGCATAGATCAGTCAGATGCACGATTTTCTCCATTTTTCTCGAGAGAAATTTTTTAATTCTATTTT